TGATAAAACTACATATTTGCTTATTGCAAAACTACTACTAATTTGCTTATTGGTTTAATCTACCAATGACAGGAGGTGGAAAGCTTTGTGGCAGAACGCCGGCAGATTCTAACTACCCAAAAAGACGCATCAGATCAAGGCTAAACATCGTCACCGTCCAGTTTCGAAGTGACGCCTGGTTGACAGCGACTGGATTCGATGCTGTATTCCGTGCCTATCCAAAATGTAGGTGATGTTATTTTATTTTATTTTATTCACAATTATTTTTCGAGGATTTGGCAAAAAATCATAAAACACATAACAGGAAACAATAAAACAAAGTAATAATAATAATAATAAAAATAAGAAATGACAAAGGTACATAATGAGCTGGTGTACAAATCAAAATCAATCAACTAAATCAAACAAAACGTCCTGTCTGCAAAATAAAGTTGAAACCACATCAAATATTTTACAGTTGTTGACAAACGACAATGAGGGGTTACCCCTGAGAATGGTTGAACATAGGTGTTGTCGATGACGTTGTTCGTGTCAAATGGCAGGATGTTAGTTAGAGATAATAACATCAATGCAATGTAGGTGATGTTGGTTTATTGTGACTTCGAGCAGCGCTCCGCTATTAGTAAAATTAGAATCAGTGCCCACCCCTTGAAAATCGAAAAAGGGCGATATATGAAACTACCTGTGTCGGAGAGAATGTGTAAATATTGCTCCTCAAATGCAGTGAAAGACGAAATTCATTTCATCTCTAACTGTCCATTTTATGACGACATCAGAAAACAATTATTTAGCTCCGTGTCCAAAATGCTGCCTTACTTCCCCACCATTCCTCACCACAAAAAAAGCAACTTTACTACTAAAATCAAAGAGCCCACATATTATAGAAGAAGTGGGTAAATTCGTCTTCCATTACCTAAAAGGAAGAAGAAGTCAAACCCAGTAAAACTAGTACTATGCGCATGTTGTAGAATATAGTATAATGCTAGACGTAGATATAGTCTCAGATACCACTGTATTTTCTGTCTTATGTTGTTTGTAACTGCAATTAGCCCTCGGGCAAGTATTTGCAATGAACTTTCTATGATTGGTTTATGTTTACATCCTTAAGAGGGAAAACGTTTATGATGCAGTTTAAACTGTAATTTCCAACACCACAGATTGGACAAATTTTTACTGTGCAAGATTCCATCTATATCCGGGCACTAAAACCTTCCCTCAACAAAGACGGGGGGGGGGGGGGCATAGAATTCCTGCAGCTTACGATCCACTGCTCACCGAGTCACGTGTGTCAGGTTTGTATCCGTCAAGGACAAACCTTCTCTGGGCGGCTGGTTGTAGAAGGGCAGACACCACATTTGCGTTGTGCAGTAAAGGCCAAAAAAATGGGAACACGATTGTAGTGCCCAGTTAATACCTTTGAAAATCCTTTTTTCTCTTGAAAATTTTGGTCCATTTTGGAGATTTTTGGGCTGGAAGGCACAGGTAGGGTCTAAACTTTCCTACATTGGTGTAGTTTTGTTTATTTCACCAGTTTAGTGGGCGTAGTGAGAGATGTGAGTGGTTAGGTCTTGTCTGGCCAGGCGGATGGATACCATGGAAAATGTAGGTCAAAGTTGAGGTTTTCTTACTATCATCAGCTGTGGCGGGAATTTGAGGTGGTCGACCCCCTGTTTCCTTTCTATTTTTGGGAATCAGACCCTTGTTGCTACCTGGTGCAGAAAATTTTTGAGATTGAAGTATGGGCAAGTACTTTCATGAGGACTTCTAATAGTGTATTTAAGGATGTGTTCCTATGGCCAAATCTAATAGTACTGTCTGCCCAGGACGGCCGGCAAACGGTGGTTACAGGGGTCAGAGGTTATCCCGGCCTTTTCCATTTATACCATGAATTTCTGCCGATAGATAAGTAAGAATTTTGGACTAAATACTCGTAGACAATTTGGACGTCACAATAGTTTAACACTCAAGTAGGTGTTCTTGGACAGAACATTTCTTTTATGTTTACCATATATATCAATGGGAACTCAAAACTGTATGGTCTGTGGCCAAATTACTATGTTAACCATCGCAGAAGGAAAACATGGTTTTGCTCAGTTTCTTTTCCTTCCTCTTATCAAAAGAAATAAGGTCAATGACCTGCACCAGACGTCTGTCACCATGGTAACTTTTGCTGTAGCAGACACACTGTGGTGTTAGGTTACATTATGTAGCAGAGCCTGCTCGCCATACATATGATTTATTCGACTTTGAGTAATGATAAACACTGCAGTAGTTTGTTGGGCTAGACCAGCTGAAGTTTGCTTGTTTTGTTGTTGTTTATTTAGGAAGCTCCCATTAGTGACAATACATCACTATTCTTCCTGGAGTCCTTTACATACATGTAAAATACATTAACTATTATTTACATACACGCTTAACTGTTATCAAGAAAACTTATCTATCAACATAGTAAATTACACATTAAGCATCAATTAATACATCAATTAATAATATTACATTATACAGGTAACAAAAAAACAACAACAATTATGTACTAGATGTCTGAGAGGTCAGAGGTCATGAATTTCTACAAAATATATTCAAAACGTTTACCACCAGGAGTTAATTTGTGTTTGTTTGTTATATGTATTTTTGTCCAATTCCAGATTTTTTTCTTTAAACGTTCCTGGGTTTGAGGATGTGATATGAGTAGGCAAAGCTTTTCTAGTATGTTTATGTTTTATGTTTTTATGACTAGTTGATCCCTGTCTGAGTCGTGGGCAGCCCTTCCGTCTCTGGCAGCCCTGGCAGCGGTTCCCCTGTGCTGACTGGTCTGAATGTTTACCTTTCGTGAAACGGTGTGACGGGCAAGAGGATTGCTTTGATGGAAGCGACGAACAGCAATGCGGTAAGAGCGGGCCATTAACGCTATTATCATATAGCTTACACGACAGCCTATCCAAACTGATGCAGTGAAGAGTGACACAATGTACAATTTACCCGTTGCACAAGCTCAATAGAACATAGAATGTTTGTTTCATCTGGAGTCACCTGAGGTCACTGGGTAGGGTTCACGTTCTATCTGGGTCACAGGCAGGGAGCGGGTGTTCTTATGGGAGTCACCCGAAGTCATTGGAACACAACTCAAGTTATTTTTGGATTTTTTAGAAGAAAATCGTGTTCTATGTGGATCACCCGAGGTCATATGCGGGTGATTATTGGGTTGTTTAATGTATGGATTGGGATGAATAAATACCCGGTTTTGACTCTATTTGTTACATCACGGCGTCATAAGGAATGTGGAATGGAGCCTTCTGATTGGTCAACGTCACCCGGCTATATGATAAGTTTTTTAAAGTTGTTTTTGTTTCTGCACATAATAAATAGACATGCAAAGGGGCCTGCGGAATCCTGTTGGTTTATCTCAGTCTCTCCTCAATACCACAAAATTAAAAGATAACATGAAATAAACTGAAACAACTGAAAGAAATAATGACATACAAACCATCTATCTAAACACATAAAGGGAGATTAATTACACTAGTTATTACTAGTCATCTGTACAAACATAAAATACATGAAGTAGTGACACACGAGCTTGCAGTAATTTAGAGCGAGCGATCTCTTCAAACAGGAAGGAATTCATTGCTTATTGCTTGTTTTCATGTATAATTGAAATAAAAATGTTAAAGATGAACGATGTGCTGGAAGGCCTGAAACCTAATAGTATATTTATATACTTTACATATCAATGACTTAAGGGATCTTTGTCATGTTCAACCGGTTTTTCCAATTGCTCATATATGCTTTATTGGGTTCTGTTAGTTCATTAGTGACGCTGAAGAAGAGTGGTGGATGTCACTCGAAACGTCCGGATATTATCTCCGTAATTTATCCAGTAGTACGGTTTGAATTTCCTATAAGTTTTGTTTACATGGATGTCTAGCCCTCATCGACGTACCTGATAGTATGTGGTTTTTCGTGGGCCTTGCCCAACGAAATGATAGGTGTGATATTGTTACATGTGCATGATTAATATAATAACGTTACCAAGAAATCAAATCATGATACAGAAATAACTTTTAAATACGTGATTGAGTTAGGCATGGTTATTATACTTGTTCATGAGCTGGTATTGGATACTTAGTAGTTGGTACGTCCACAAGTTGTATTGTTTCCTTATTTTTTTTGCTGCTAATTTTCCTCTCTAGAATGTCATACAATACCAGAAGAGCTGGGGTTTTGCAAAGGGTCCATTCCCTACAACCTGATGTTTATCCCGAACCTTGTGGGACACACCAACTACTCTGAGATCGTCACGTCAAGTGCTTACACAACCGCGCAAGGCCTGCTGGGAAACCAAGATGGCTGCCGTCATCCTGAGGTCATCGCCTTTCACTGTGCACTTCTGGCTCCAATGTGCAACGGAAACAGGTACCTTTTGAAAACAAGACTTCGATCAGACCTCATACCTACATGAAAATATTTGAGCCTTTATAATTTTTCTTTGTTTTTGGATTTTTCTCATTGACCATGGAAATATGATCAGCCACCAAAAAATCACTACCACAGCAAGTCCATGACAAAATATTAAAAAAACGGAAGTTCTGCTGCAGTACCAAGGTCAGCCGCCTACATTTGACCTTGACCTTTGTCTTCCTAATACCAACCAACATACCAATTACGATGAAAATCTATAGATGACTTCTTAAGTTATGCTGATCACAAATATGCGGAAACACAGACACACATACAGACACACACACACACACACAGACACGCACATACACACACAGGCAGACTAAAAATACCTACATTTTCATGTAGGTAATAAGTTACACATAAAAAATACTCTAGTTTGAGGTTTTTAGAAGTGTTTTGGGGTATCCGTGAATGCAATTTAACTCAAACCATGCGGACATACCGGATGAATTTTATGATAGAGTGCACTCACGTATTTGTGTGGCGTAACTTACTTCAGTAACACACGTTCCTGGTTTTGCTAATCCTTTCTTTTTAGGATGGTTCCGATGTGCTACTCCTGGTGGCGGGAAGTCATGTGGGCCTGCTGGTTCGTCAGCGATTTTTATGACGTCAACCCTCTACCGTGGACAGACTGTTACTACCCACACCAGAAAGAAGGTACGTTGAATTCTGTGCACACAGCTGGGTCATATAAAGACATTTCTTAAAGTTCTATTAGAAGTACACAGAGTGTTCTGTAATGGCCCCGCACCAGAACACTATAGACGCGGATTGGTTCATCAGATTTGACTCAAATTTATCTCAAATTCGACTCGATTCATTTTTAAGGATTTGGATGCCTTCACATTATAAGGCATTGTCCAGGTCCATTTTCCTGCAGCTGATTTTTATTCTAATTGCATTTCATTATATATCTTAGACTGCTTCAATGGCTGGGGAGAGAACTACAGAGGCAGTCAGAATACAACTGTTACAGGAAGAGCATGTATGGACTGGAGAGATGTTGGAATATACGTAGGTTATGTTTTGTCTACCCATTTTCCGTAATGTCGCTAAGCAGTACCTTGAGCTGTATGTAACTTGTATGAGCTATACGATAATGCTGATTGTGGTTTGAAATACTTTATGTTACATTGTTTCCTTCAATTGTTCCTAAATTATAAGATACATGCATTTGTGCTTTCAGGACGACACAAATATAGCCAAATGGAACTTGGATGGTAACTATTGTAGAAACCCCTATAGATCCAGGAAGGGCCCGTGGTGTTACGTCATGGACACGTACAAGCCGAGGAAGCAATCGTGTGATGTACCTTCCTGTGGCAGCAGTAAGTCACTTAAAGTTTTTAAAACGCCCGCCCCTGAGGCGTCACCAAAATTGTAGGAATCCACTGACCCCTTCAGTCTTTGTCAAGAAATGAGCAATCCACCGCTTCCCTGACTTCCTGCAGATAACACACGTGACTCCATGAAGAGTGGATCATAGGTTGCAGAAGGTCTGTGGCGCCCCCCGTCTCTGTAGAGGGATGGTTATCTGCGTGACGTCACCGAAGCATTGGATTGCTCATTCCTTGACAACGACTAGAGTTGTACATTCGAAAAATTTGGATAAGTCCAATTTCTTTTGTTGGAAATTGCAGTTCAAACTTGGTTCATAATGACTGCCACCAACACAGATGAGCTTCCAAGATATTTAACGATATCGTTGCATTATTTGATGCCAGAGGCCTCGGACACGTCTTCCTGTGGCTCCACGCTAACCGGTGACGAGGGAAGTTTTAGTACACCGAACTATCCTGGCAGCTACGGCAGCAACCTGTGGTGCACCTGGACTATCATCGCCAACGCCACCGAGTCCATTACCGTGACTTTCGACAGTTTCGATGTGGAGTTCCAGCAGAACTGTGACTATGACTATGTCCAGCTGTATGAAGGGAGTCCAGAAAACAACCGTACTCTAGGTATGTGTGTAGTTCTTTAACTTTGATGGTTTAAAACCATCTTTACTATAGAACATGAATGATATAGGACAGCCTAGGACAGCCCTTCATTTCTTTATAAGTTGCAGGATAGTGCAATGCAGATAAAAGAAATAAAGTTTGCTAGTTACTGTGCGCATCGGAAGTTGTCAATAAAAATTTACAAGACTTTTTGTATATGAAGAGTGCCTGTTGTATGACTTCTAACTTATACAGGATAAAAATCTTGGAGCACATTTCCAATCAGGTGTGTTTTCATCACAATATATAAGATACAAAGCGCGCACTTCCCCAATCTACTTAGAATGTTCTGAGTATACAGTAGCAGCAGAGGAAAACGGTTAGGTAAAGATAGAATAGCAAAGTTCTTTCTATCACAACCATTTATTTTTCAAGCCGACGTTTCGATGACCTTCTGTCATCTTCATCAGAGCAATTCTGACTGGTTTACTGTGCACTGACACTAGATGTTACTTGGTGCATAGTGCACTAAAGGTGTTACATAGTTCACTTAAGCTAGTTTTTCTGTTCACAATACATTCCGGAACGTAGTGTAATTGTGACATACATACTAGGCATTGTTACATCATAGGGAAATATGCGGTTTCAAATGTAAAGTGTTTCTATGTATAATATTACACTACGTTCCGGAATGTATTGTAAACAGAAAAAAACTAGTTTAAGTGCACTATGAACTATGTAACACCTTTAGTGCACTATGCACCAAGTAACATCTAGTGTCAGTGCACAGTAAACCAGTCAGAACTGCCCTGATGAAGATGACAGAAGGTCATCGAAACGTCGGCTTGAAAAATAAATGGTTGTGATAGAAAGAACTTTGCTATTCAGTCGTTTACCAACCTGATGAAATTATTTACGGAGTAAGGCAAAGATGTTCAAGTTGAATTTATGCCTGGCTATGTTTATTTGTTTGCATACCCTATACAGAAAGGGGAGGAAAGTTTTGTGGCAGCTCTTCCACCCAAAGCACGTATCCAAAGTATCGAATCGTGTCCAAGCTTAGTACGGTCATGGTGGTTTTTCACACTGACGCTTGGGTAACATCGTCGGGATTTAACGCGTCTTACGCTGCCACGGAGAAAGGTAGGCTTTGTTTTGATGAGGTCATTGTTTTGATTACTTCCCCGACGGAAGTATTATTTTGATCACGTGAATTGAGGATGTGTGTGTGTGTGTGTGAGTGAATGAATGAATGAATGAGACTTTCTTTTCGTGTCGTGCGCTTTCCCGCGCCCAGCCCGTGTGGGCTTATAAGACACCGATTCAATAAATCATACATAAACAAAAGAGAATCAAAGGTACAGATAACAGAATCCAAACAAAATATGAACACAAATAAAGGTAGACTATATACAATAATGGTGAACAGAGTGAACTCATAACAGATCGTATTATAAATGCAAATAAACAAATAAACAAGTACATAAGGTAAATCAAACATAATAAGAGAAAACAAACGTGCAGAAGTAACAAAAAGTGGCCACTGTTGATGTGTTATGAATACAGGTGTTTTCTTCTTTTCCCCCACGCTCGATAAATGAAAGTTGCTAGGTCAGATACACCCTCGTTAAAGAGCCACTTAATTCTACTTTCATCTGTGTGTGTGTGTGTGTGAGCGCGTGCGTGCGTGCGTATGTATGTGTGTGGGGTCTGTTGGACTTCTAACTAGATAGGATTTCCGAAATCTCCAATATCTTGTTTGATATCACTACCATTGTGCTGTATTTCCCCACTCCTCTTGTTAATTCTAAATTCTTGTATTCATGGGAAAAGAGGATCCCTGTCTGGAAGGGGATTTCTCCTCTTGGAAAGAACATCAAAGGTTTCGCTGCGCCGACTGGTCTGGATGTTTACCATTTAAGAACCGCTGTGACGAAGAGGAACAGTGCTTTGATGAAAGCGACGAAAGAGGATGTGGTAATATCAGCATGAAAGTTCATCTGAGTTGGTAAATTACATTATGAAAAACTTAAAACTTTTCTCCAACTCAAAATTTGACTCACCAGAAATTTTCGACTGAATCACTCAGTCTTCCTCAGCTATCTGACCCAAATGCTATGGACACGTGATTTTCCCACGTGTGACGTCAGCAAAGGGTCAAAGGTTGTCTGAAGTCGATATCGCCCCCCGTCCCGGTTAAGCGATGGTTAAAGTGCCCTGATGTATATGGCCTCTTTTATGCCTCTCATGAAGTAATCCTGTTCGGTGAATTTCTGGTGAGTCAAATTTTGACTTGGAGAAAAGTTTAAGTTCTTCATGATGTGGTTATATGTTTTCCTTAAGTTAGGCCATAGCAAGTACATTCTATGGTTGACATTCTTTGAAGAATCCAAATCTAATGTGATAGGGCGAAAACAAAAAGAAGGCGGGCAAAAAACAAGATTCCTACATTTTCAAATTTTGACTTGTTAAACAAGCAATGATACCTATATTGTGCTAAGTTTAGTGCCAACTATTACAACATCCATTTGAAACAATTAACCGAAACAACTTTAAAACAAGTTTTCAATCATTTTAAAAATGGTTTTCATTCAATGGGCACATCACATCTACACAGCAACAATCCTATATAAGAGGAATTTCGAATGAAATACATCTCTGCATCAAAGTTAAAGACAAAACAATAAATCAGAGAATTATTGTCTTGTCTCATTATTATGTCAAATTATATGGAGCAATAAAGAACACAAACGACAACCAATTAATTTGATCAAACTCAAATAAGTACAGAAAAACACTGATTTGATTTTCCTAGAATGCCGGGAGATACCAGGACAACTGGGCTTCTGCAAAGGGATCATTGCCTATGAAGAAATGTCCCTACCCAACTTGCTGGGACACACAGACGTCTCAGAGATTGTGACATCCGATGCCTTCAACACCACCCTGGAGCTACTGGACAACCCCGCAGGATGCTTCCATCGCGAACTTACCGCGTTTCACTGCGCCATTCTGGCTCCAAAGTGTGTCAAAGACAGGTTTGTGTTCATTGCAATCTGCCTTGTGTCAAATTGAATACAACATTTGGATAAGGCCGCACCAAGTCATATTTATGGATGCCGTCCGCGCGCGCGCATTGATTTTGGCCTGTTTTCAGAAAAAGAAAAAGAAATTACGCTACTTGTAACGGTCTGTATCTGCATCTGTATTGCCGGTATAACCGCCTTTCGGCGTAACACACCAGCTTCGCAGGCACGCGGCGCGGCGGCAGCTGGCTATATTACACCGATCGACTTGTTACACCTAACCCTTGAACTTCTAGCTCTAGACATTGTTTAAAGCTATCTATTGACAATGCCCCTACTGTACTTGGTGACAGTGAGTTCCACTCTACGATAGTTGTAGGAAAGAATGAATTCTTGAACACCTCAATCCTTGGTTGATAACTCTGGTACTTGAATGCATGGCTATTTCTTGTTCTCTTCTGGGCTGGTATTAGGTACTTAGTGGATGGTACGTCCACCAGTTTATTAGTCATTTTGTACATCATGCATAGTCTGGACATCTTTCTTCTGTCTTCCAGTGAGGTCCACTGTAGGTTTCTTTTCATTTCCGTGACACTAGCACCTCTTTCATAGTTGTTCATAGAGAATCTTGCAGCTTGATTCTGTACCCTTTCCAGTTTGTCTTTGTCTTTCTTTGTAACTGTGACCAAAGAGTGATGACAGTGGGATAAGGGAAGATATGATTGAATGAAAGACTCAGGACAGGAGGGCACTGATTTTCCATTTATTTATTGCTATTTTCATGAAGAATAAAAGACTTGTTGGTTGTTGCACTTTGTTCTCTCATTCAATTTGTGCCCTATGGCCTAAGATTTGTCGTCCCTTATCATATTTCGTCACTTATCATATTTCATATGCAGGCATATTTCATATGCAGGCATCTTGCTTTTTTGAGCCCTTCTTGTTTTTTTCGCGCTCTTGCATTAGATTTAGAGTCTCCAGAGGACGTCATCCATAATTATTGGTGTGGCCTAATGGGAGTTGAAAGCAAATTGTGTATTTTCGAAAAAAAAAAAAATTCATCAGGTTACACAACCAGGGCTTCTCTTACCTTGCTTACTCTCGATGTCAGACACCTTCCTCAGAGCTTCTGACTGAAGTTCTGCTTCTCACCGCTATATGTAGCCGATGTAGGTGGCGCTTTTGCGGTGAGAACATAATCCCGAACGTTGCTAAATTTGAATCCCCCTCTTCGAATTCCCGGTCCATCACTGGGGTTGACGTTGGCCTACATTCGCTACATATCGTGGCGAGAACCAGTACTGCAGTCAGAAGCCCCGGGGAAGGTGTCTGGTGCAAATAGAATCATAATCAAAATCAGAGCACTGGTTCGGTAACCCGATGAAATCATTTTCGGAAGGACATAATTTGTATTAAATTCAAAACTGATGTAGATAAGACATGATGGCTTTTTAAAAACCGGTGGAAGCCTGACATTCGAATGAGACTGGATGTTTAAGTTGAACTTAACAAACACATGCAACTCTGTGCCTTAAAACTGATGCATGGTTGCCTCTACCCATTGGTACCAAAATGTTTTTCTAGCATTCAAAAATGTTTTTTCAAGAGAGAAGCAGTAATACGTTTCTTTTTCTTAGGATGTTTCCAATGTGCTACTCCTGGTGGCGCGAAGTCATGTGGGATTGCTGGTTAACGAGCGACATCTATGACGTCAATCCATTGCCTTGGCACGACTGTTATTACCCGCCACAAACTGAAGGTACGCCATTGGCCAGTGTTTCTAAAACTCCAATTTGAAGTCATTAATGCAAAATAAACTGTTCACCAACTCAAAAATTTTGACTCACCGGAATTTTCATCTTCATCACCTTTCTGACCCCAGTGTTGTAGACACGTGACATGCGACGTGCGAAGTCCGCGCTGGGTCAAAGTTCGTCGGAAGCTGGTATCGCCACCCGTCCTGTCACGTGTGCGGAAAAAACACGTGTCTACAGCACCTGGCTCAAAAATTACTGAAGACCTAGGCCGTGTTTAAGGCCGTGTCTATACGGAACCACCCAAGGCGGTTTACATGTGGTTTACCCCGAAGCCGGTTTCAAGTGGCTCCATGTGAACGCCCCGAAATCACATTGAAAGCGCCTCGATCCCAAGCGACTTCTAGAGGTGGTTTCGAATCGGTTTCCCCGCATCGCGATTTGCGTCTGAACGCAATGTGATTTCAATGTAACTTCGCCTGGTCATGGATTACGGAGTGATATTTCTTTTTTTATATGCATACCAACTTTTACGTGGCAGCAACTTAAATAGTAGTAATGGTCAAATAATGTGTCCGTTCTACTTCTAGGGCGACCTTCATCGCCTCTGGCGGGACCACGTCGGCATTCGGCCGAGATGGAGGGGGGCACCAGCAAGCAGGTCGTTGATCTCTGACATTAATAACACGCCACCTTGCGTGTTATCATCAAACAGCAATAAATGTAGCTCAAGCGAATTGTGATCGGACACGCTTCACAGGAGTGTATGGCACGTGGACCAGATGTGAGGAATGTGAGTTACCCGAATCGCGGGTTGGGTGACTTCACTTAAACGCGGCCCTAGAGATTCGGTCTAAAATTCCGGTTAGTCAAAATTTTTTGAGTTGGAGAACAGTTTAATTTTCATTATATGATTAACCAGTTCTGATGATTTGAAACCATCATCGGGACCATTGGCATCCACATATAGTATATATTTCATCCATAGCAACAATTAAATCCCCCCTAACCCACATCCCTCTATCTGTGAATCAACTACATGTTTGTTACCAACTTACGCATTTTTGTCTCTCTGAACGTTGAAGATTGCCACAATGGTTGGGGGGAAAACTACAGAGGCTTGCGTAACAGAACTGCAACCGGGGAAGTCTGCCTTGATTGGAAGGAAAGCGAACAAAACTGGGTATGTATGAAATACGACTTTCATTATCTCTCTCTCTCTCTTACACACACTCTCATTCTACCATGACTATGTTTAAAAAACAGTATGCTTTATTCAAGATATGAAAATTTATATATTGTTCAGTATCTGCTAGAGAAAAAAATAATAATTGGTAACTATAAATAATAATAATAATAATAGATGGTTTATTGAAAGTAATTTGCAGCCACCGGGCTGAATGTACCTTGTACAATTGCTAAAAATCTTAAATTACAAACTAACAGTACTCATTGAAACTCAATATAGAAACTCATTAACACAATATAGAAACTCATTAACACAATATAGAAGGCTTGCTATTAATTTCGTCATAGTTTGCGTTAACACATTTACACAAATATACGAGGCTAGCATTAACTACATTAACTCATTGGCAATATTCACATTTTCGCAAGTTCACAGTTCTTGTATAGGTATTAGTGTTCATTCAAGAGTCTGGTCATGTACGGGATGGGGCTGTTGTAATATCTACTTGTTCTAGTTTTGACAGGGTTCAGCAGGTGCTTAGATCTAGTGTCTCTGGTACTTATGTCGCCACGCAAAGGTGGGAGCCAAGTTCTGTAAGTCTCAGAGTCAAGCATCCTTCTGGCGAAGTTGTAAGACAGAGTACGACGTCTGGCTTCAAGTGTGGGCAAGTCAAGTTTGCGGCATGCTTCTGATTACGATGTGTATGAAGGTCCTAAGATTATCCGACATGCCCTTCTCTGTATAGCCTCAATCCTTGCTCGTTGAGCTGATGTTAGGCCAGGGTGCCACGCGGGGGCGGCGTATTCGCAAACTGGTCGTATGAGTGTCTTGTAGCATGTGAGAAGATCGTCGCAGGGAAGGTTGAAGCTCCGGAGCTGACTGAGTAGATAGAGTTTTTGACTGCCTTTTCTGACAACATTGTTAACATGGGACTCCCAGTGTAGGTCGGATTGAACGTGAATGCCCAGTAGTTTGACTGTTTGGACTTCCACCAACGGTTCACCGGCTATAGAAAGCTGAGGTCGTTGAAAGGGGGCTTTTGTGAACGACACGTGCATCACCATGCACTTTCTTGGATGCAGCTTCATTTCCCGATCGGTAGTCCAGGTGGAGAGATGATCAAGGTCAGTCTGCAAGGTGGAGGTAGCTTCGATCTTCCGACTCTCTGCGAGATTTAAATCATCAACAAACTTCCACCTTGTAGTAGTGGCGTCGTGACAAGCATCATTAATAATAGCAAGAAATATGAGTGGACCAAGAACAGTCCCCTGTGGTAGGCCACAAGTGGTTGAAGACCAATCGGAGTAAACACTGTTGTAAACAACTCGTTGTTCCCTGTCAGTAAGGAAGCTGCATAGCCAGTTTGCCAGTGAAGGTCTTAATCCCATGTTGAGCAGGCTTGTAATCGCAAGGTTGTGATCTATACGATCAAAAGCCTTGGAAAAATCCGTTGTGACCAGGCTCGTAATAGTTCCTCTTTGGTCAGCGGTTTTCGTCAGCTGGTTAACGATGTCAATTAAGCAATGTGTCGTAGAGCGACCGGATAGGCAGCCAAACTGGTTGCGGTCAATCCGGTCCTTTATGTCGCTGTAGAGCTTTGTGGCTACAAATCGTTCAACGACTTTCGCCAGAACTGGAGTCAAGGATACCGGACGGAGTTCGTCGACAGAGGGAGGTCGTGTTTTTGCTAACGGCACGATGTTTGCCTTGCGCCACAGTACGGGGACCGTTCCTTCTGCAAGGGATGTATTCAAAATTGATGTTACAGGTGTTGCCAACTCGTACGCAAACTCTTTAATTATTCTGTTGGGTATGTTGTCCGGTCCGATAGCCTTTCTAGGTTTAATTTTTCGAAGACTGTTGTAGACCTCCCAAGGCTGAACTTGCTCTTCGGGTTTGGCCGGAAGAAATGCAGGTAGCTTGTCACGGTCAAGTGGCTCGAGCGAACACGTAACTTCGCACAGGGCTTTGTTGATAGCGTTGGCCGTAGTCTTGTAGTCCTCTGAAGGCACACCATCAATGTTCAATGTAACTGGTTTGGCCAAAATCTCCATGGTAACTGTACACAAGGCAGTTCGCCACAAGGCACCTGCCTACATGACACATATGTTCAAATGGCTGTCACCCCCAGTGCTGAGAGTTCGTACTCGCACTGCTACGAAACAGCTCTACAGCTTCAACCCTCACATGCTGGACACTCCCAAAGCACATGTGGAATCCTTCAAGGGCAGCCTGCAGTATCAAGGGCCTGTACAGTGGAACTGTCTTGCTGCTGACCAGCGGCAACTGGCAGCAACGTCAGCATTTAAAAACGGACTGTAGATGACCGCAGATGAAATGTGCCTATATTGCATACTGTGATTGTTTTGTATAATATTTAAATGTTTGTAACATTTGTTGTATATTGTTGCGTTGAACTTGTGTAATGTTATTTTTAATGTGTGCCCAGGGATACCTGAAAATCAGATCAACTGATCTGAGGTATGCCCTGGTGAAATAAATAAACTTGAACTTGAAACATGAACTTGGTTTGGCACAGGTGACACAAGAAGTCATTGACAAGTGGAACCTGGACGGCAACTACTGCCGAAACCCTGCACGACAGTACAGTGAACCGTGGTGTTATGTGACGGATCGTCAAAACAAGCCTAGAGCAAGACTATGTAGTGTACCGGCATGTGGCAGTAAGTCAGTTCTGTTACCTTATAACTAAACGACTTATCATGGCGTGATACGTAGTGTGGCGTAACGACAGAGCAGAGCGTTCGGCTTGGAACCTGGAGGTACCGAGTTCGAATCCTGCCTTGCCACTGATCTTGTGCCCTTGGGAAAGCTGGGCACTTTACACGACTTTCCTCACTTAATCACAATGACAAATGTTGGAAAAACATCTTTGACAAAAAAGAATATACATTGTACTCTGTTGAAGTTGCAGTTGACCACATGTGAAACAAGAATTGGACATTTCAGACTTTTAAGGTAATAATTTGGGTTTATAAATTTATTGGAAGAACCAAGGGGATTCTATCAAGAAATCTGATGTGGCAAATCTGATATTGTCAACCTATTGTGCGGACAGACTAAATACAAACCCAGCACTTCCGTCCTGGAAGGAATGATCAACACGATATCAACACCAATCGTTTGTTGTCAGCTAACTTACATGTCTGTTGATGTTGTTATCGTTCTTGTTCTTATTATTTTATTTATTGGTTTATTTGTATCAACGTATAAACAACATATCTCGCAGCCTTGACAAACAGGGCTGAATTCTGATGTTTGTTTACAATATAAATCATTAATTAATAGTAGAAAAATACAAATTACAATCATGTGGGAATGTCATGTTCTTGTGCATCATCTATATGATGCACAGGATGCACATATGATGATTTACGTAATAAGCTATTCAAATTTATCGAATCTAGTACTAACAATAGATTCGGTGCTTTGGACAGATATACATACACATTCAAATGCAACAACTCTTACAATGCAAAAATAGGTAAATACATAAAAGACTGTTTTGTTATTGGAAAAAAACCGAAACTCATCATTAGCCCTACTTGATTGTATAGCTGTATTAGCTCTTTTTAGCTATTTTCATTTTATACCCTTTTCTTTTCTGTTCAGTAGTCGTTGCCATACTTTGTACCATGTACAATTGTAGTGCAATAAATTTCTTTTTTTTCTCGTTAACACAAGGAAACGAATGGTCCGAATACTCTGCCTGTGAAGACTCCTTGACCAACGGTACTTTGGTCTTCAGCGCCGCAAAGTCTGGGAACCGGAAATGCAGATGGGTGATATCGGTAATACCTTGTCACTACTTTACGACTACGTTCCTATACATAGATTCATTTCTTCAAACAAACTAGTTAAGAAAAAACAAGAACTTACAGTTAAAAAATAAGAAAAGAATTTACGATTCAAATATATCATAATATGTATCTGTGTGGCCGGTATAACCAGCCTTTGACGTAACACACCAGCTTCGCAGGTACGCGGCGCGGCGGCATCTGGCTATATTACACCGAACGATTTGTTACACTTAGCCTTTGAACATACTATAGCCTACTGTACTTGGTGGCAGCGATTTCCACTCTCTACGATAGTTCTACGAAAAATTAGTTTAAACGCCTAAATTCGTAGATGTGATTTTGTTCATGTGCACCACACTTCAGGCTGATTCACCAATGTGATGCCCAAATAAGGGTTTTTGTTTCTATTTTAAAGACCGATTACAAAACTGGTAGCTAGCTACATGTTGTTTGTTTGTTTGTTTGTTTGTTAGGCTCATAATAATTTTTTTTATTAAACTGCACGACCCATTCTTCGAGGGTGTTCAGATCTTCTTGCAGAAGTTGAGTCATTCTGTGTATCACTCAGCAATCAGTCCCGTAACTGGAAGCCGTAGGGGCAATCATCGGCAAATAACCTCACATTTGAATCAAGCTGATCTGGTAAGTCTTACAAGAGTAAGACTAATGGTCCCAGGACAGTTCCTTGTGGAACCCCAGATGCTACTCTAACGGTAGCCGAGGTCTTCCCTTCCACTACTGCCTGCTGATTGCAAGAGTAAAATATTGCTTCTTCATTTCAAGCGTTTTGTGATTAAAATGTTTCTTCTTCTTGCCTTAGGTGGAGCCACATATGAAGATCAATCTAACATTCCATCACATCTCGATAAATAAGGAGAGGTGGAGGCCTGACTGTCCGTACGACCACATAGAAGTGTTTGATGGAGAACATCCAGAGGGTCTTCACAATTTTAGTGGTAAGCAGTTGAAATGTCGTAAACCATCGCCTGCCGCAAGGGGGTGTCCAGAGGGTGTTTATTTCGACACTCAAAAACACAGATACAAAAACGATCCGAATCATCTCGGTCCCATGTATAAGCTAATCATATGTCAAGAACCAAAGAAATCCCAACGAACAGAAACACACCTTCCGCAGCAGGAGACATCACCTGCTCAATCTGGGCTAAGGCCGTATTTATGTGAAGTCAACCAAACCACGATTCGGGTAACTCACATTCCTCACATCTGGTCCACGTGCCATACATTCCTTTTAAAACGTGCCCGATCACGATTCTCCGAAACTACATTCATTCTTGTTTGATGAAAACACGCTAGGTAGGTCCCCCCCTCCCAGCGTATCTTGGCCGAATGCCGACGTGGTCCCGCCAGAGGCGGTGAAGCTCGTCCTAGAACGGACACATTATTTGACCATTACTGCTCTTTAAGTTGCTGACACGTAAAATTTGGTATTGCATATAAATAAAGAAATATCACCCCGTAATCCATGACCAAGTGAAGTCACATTGAAATCACATTGCGTTCAGACGCAAATCGCGATGCGGGAAAACCGATTCGAAACCACCTCTAGAAGTGGCTTCGGATCAAGGCGCTTTCAATGTGATTTGGAGCGTTCAGCCACTTGAAACCGGCTTCGGGGTAAACCACCTGTAAAGCGCCTTGGGTGACTTCACATAAACACGGCCTAAAACAATGGCTAAAAGACAATCTTCTTCGGCATTTCTATTCAGAAATTAACTCCAGGTGGGAAGCAAGGAAATAAGTTAAGAACTTACAAAACATTTTGAAATTCTTACGTATGAAAAAGAACAATATTCAGATGTGCAAAAGGAAGATTGTTCAAACATTTCGGAAATACGTAAATATGTAACTGAAAACTATGTCAATTTGTTCAAAATGTTTCAAAATAGGAGAAGAGATATAGACATAACATGACATAACTCTTGTTCCTCCTATACCCTACTAATGAGTTATCTAACGTTGTGCATTTGGCCCATGTATGGCGTGAATACGCAAGTCCATTGTTATTGTCATTAAAAAAACTGTAATAAAATGCTGAAATACTAGTAACATTTAATCTATTAATTTCGTCACTTATCAAGATTGTTTGATTTTATTTCTATCCAGGGAAATTCTGCGGTGGTGTCCAGCCCGTATCCATCATAAGTGAGAGTTACAAGATATCAATTTTATTCACCAGCGAAGGCTTTGGAGAACTTCTGATCAAATACTTCAACGCCACCTTCTCAGCCATACCAAGAGGTAGGTTAATTGCCTTCGACAGAAGGCTATGAAATCGTTTTTGCACTGTTTTGCAGATTATGCACGATAAAGTTTGAAGGCATGGTCCGTGGTTCACGATTTTTGGCAGGCAGTTTGTCTTACTGATGGGCATTGTGAAGGCCAGAAATGGGCTTCGTGGGGGGTTCTTACGTGACTGGAGCTGACCTTTTGTGTGAAGGCATGAGCCCTCCGAACTCTAGTTTAATTTGTTACCGTCCTTCCCGCACCACGTGGTGCATGGGGCGGCGCCCATCTCCGGTTCAGTAACCCTTGGGCCACAAAGTAGCGCAATCTACATCACTACAGCAGTGGTGTGTGTTTAACTCCCATAGTCTTTTTAAAAATGCTGAGTGCTAAGGAGAGAAAGCAGTATGTACAATTTTTAAAGTCTTTGGTGCTTGGTATGACTCGGCCGGGGATCGAACTCACGACCTACCGAATGCAGGACACTCTACCCACTTGTCCGTTGCACCGGCACAAAAGAGGTAGGACCCCTCCTGAAATACTACCTGTTTCAATCCAAATTCTTCCCTTCTATCCAAATCCTCCTCACCTTTTGTACATGTATAAACATTGTATTTTAGAATAGTTATGTTCTTTCATTCACAACCATTTGTTATACATGAGCCGCCGTTTCGGTAAAACGAATAAAAGGAACTGTAATATTCAATCATTTACCAACCTGATGAAGTTATTTACGACTGTATGTTTAGGTTCTTTCAAAAGATCTTAACCTAAAGACATCCAATTCAATTTCAGGGCAGCAAAACAAAACAAAAAAATATCCCGAATAACAATAACAAAATCTTTCTAATATTGACACATTATGCCATCTCTTAGCACATTTTTGTCATCTTTTTATACTTGAAGCGTTCGAAATAGCCCGAAAACAAGCTACGTGAAGAGTCCCTGTATTTTTAGAACAACCAATAAATACTAGTACTAGAATCAGCCTATGATACACATCAAGCAACCATCGCGTTTTGGTCTCTCAGATATCAGTATTGTATGGGATTTGGTTGATTCAACTTAGGCCACAGCAAGTAATTTTTATGGATGACATCAGCGCGCGCATTAATTTTCGCCTGATTTTGGAAAAAAAAAAATCAAGAAATTTTGTTGCCCTCTGACAGTGGTCAACATGACAAAGATGTCTGTTGCCGGAAGGTGGATGTCAGATAACTATGAAGAGAGCTCGAGATGACAACAATAGGCTCTGATTTAATGTTTTGTTTCTTACTTGATGCAGTGATATGTAAAACTGGCTGTGTATATGTGATGTTCCCACCGAATCAAAACCATTTGTACAATGACTGAGTCAAAACTTTAAAATGTAGGAACCTTGTTTTTTCGGCCCGCCTTGTTTTTTTTCGCCCGCTCGCATTAGATTTGGAGTCTGCGGAGGATGTCATCCACAAAATTTACTTGCTGTGGCCTTACTATAGAAAATTGACCTTGACAATCGAGTTTTACAGCCCTGAAATCGCCTTGGATACCTTTGATAAGCTAATTTTCTCATGAAATTCATCTGATGAGGAAATGATTGAAATGTTCTCAACCTAGAACTTTGGTCTTCCTCAATAGACTGACCCAGTGGGATTTGTCACGTGACTTTTCTGACATCGTTTACCAGATACCTTTGACCTAGTGTCGACGTCACACTTCAGAGAAGCCACGTGACAAGCCTCACTGGGTCAGTCTACTGAGGAAGATAAGACCAGAGTGACCGGTCGAAAGCTCAAGGTGCATTTACCTGTGTGTTGGGACAAAAGTTTACACATAACATCAATTACGTCCACGTAAAAACTGTAGGGACAGTGACATGTGACGTGGCGAAGTGGCCTTGCGTTGACCAAGCGAGGTGCATCTGGCTCTACCAGAAATGTGATGGGAACATTGACTGCTGGGACCGAAGTGACGAGAACGATTGTGGTATGTATAGACTTAACCATATGCATATGCTACGCATGTATAGTAAGACATGGGACGTCGATGTTATTAATACACATTATCTCAAATTGTTCGTTTTATAACAACGTTCGAAATGAGCTGACTATTCAAACTTCTACAATTTATCCCGATTTTACTAAACTTACAGACAAAGAAAAGACTATTTTTCTGTTAACTTCCCAAAACCCACAAACTTTAGAAAAGGTGGGCCATTACGTCTTCCATGGTTTACAAAAGAGAAGTCAAACCCTTCAGACATAGCTATAGTTTTAGTCAACTACTTTTCGTCATGTAGATACTATTGTATAATAATATAATCTGTTTCAATACTGTTGTATGTTTATGATTTCCAATTAGCCTACGGGCACGAATTTGCAATAAAACTTCCTTAATTAATGTTTTCATTTGATGTGGATAATTCATGAAATTATGTTTGGAACTTTCCCCCAAGGCCAGTTGAAACACGTTAAAATAAAATAAACGAACAAACAATCTAACCAGCTTGAGCATAAAGTTTCAAAGAAAACCAAGAGCTCGAGGAGAGGAGGATGATCGCGGGTCTTAATTCACAATGCAACGTTATTTAGTTATACAATAAGAAATAATAATATTGCCGCCAACGAAGGATTCACAAGTGTTAAAAATGCTGGGGTGAAATTTGACCCCACTAGACCACGCATAAACTTTCTAGGATAACTCAATCAACAATGTTGCAATCTCAGTAAAAAAACGAATGAGAAGTTATAAGACAACTACACAAAGAAATGTCAAAATGGCACATGTACATATTACACCTGGGGTCAGTGTTTGATCCCAAACGGTGGTGTGAGGGTTAAATATTGCAACAGAGGTTGCCTTTCTTAAGTTAACGGGTAGACTATTCACCAATTTCACACTTCCCATAATGCCTAGTAACGGTCACGGATATGCAGGGATATGACGTAAGACCACCCCCCTCCCCCTTCCTCGATGTAGTATTTCCAACAAATTCTATCGACAAACTGGTCAACTATTGTTTTGAATTATTTATCTAGTATGAAGCACATGCCATAATTGCATTTTTGTTGGAATTAGAGAAAATGACGTACCTTCTATCGTTCCACCTTCTACCGAAGACTCTCCTACTCGCACGGTCGCATGCATTACCGAGTAGGAGAGTCTTCGGTAGAAAAGTGTGAAATTGGTGAATTCCACAACACTGCTCCTGAGTAGGAGACCGATCTTCTGTTCCAGCTTGTGAAGCGATTCCATCTGTGGTGGAGGAGAGACGAGTCTGCCCGCGCTCGTTTACCAAGACGGCGTTTCCCAACTTCTTACGACACAACAACGCTTCGGAACTGGAGGAAGCTGGAAACCTAGAAGATGCGAGCGCTCTTAAGGGAAGTTCGTGCCATGATCAGGTGAGACACTTCTTTTCCAGTCACCACGTACATATGACACTCCTGTACGTTTGGAATCGAATCTGTTCTTAGTTCTCTGTAACTGTTACATCTCGCGAGATACGCTGTGTAGCGTGGGGTCGTGTGGCGTAGCGGCAGAGTGCGCGACTCGGAACTTAGAGTCCCGGGTTCGAGTCCTGAGATGCCACCGACCTTGTGCCCTTGGGAAAGGCACTTTACACGGCTTTCCTCACTTAGCTCAGGTGTAAATGAGTATTGTCCTGTCATGTATTTGTCCCCTGTGTTGGTGGCGGCATTAATATATGTTGAAAAAAACTTGAGTGTGTCGTCACCACGTCTGGTGATTACATGTTGGAATAAAAAAAAACTGTTAAATAACTGACCACAAGTATGTATATATCTTACTCCCGCACGTTTGGGGCCGCATTGTAGATACATTTCCCTGTAATCACGCATATGTGTAGAAGTGTAGATATTGTACGTTTGGGAATGCATCTATAGCAGCGACACCTGTGCTGCAGTGCAATGTGAACCAGTCAGAATTGCCCTGAGGAAGGTGACAGGCAGTCACCGAAACGTCGGCTGAATAAAAGACTTGATTGTTACCTCCATGAAAAATGGAGATATTATTTTTGGCGTCTGTGTGTGTGTGTGTCTGTCTGTGTGTTTGTCTGTGTGTATGTGTGTGTTTGTGTTTCTGCACATTTGTAGTCAGCATAACATCATAACGCCTTTATCAATTGTGATGATATTTGGTATGCTGGTAGGTCGTAGGAAGACAAATGTCAAGGTCAAATATGGGCCTCCTGTTAGCTGACCTTGGTACTGCAGCAGAACTTTCGGTTTTTGTATCTTTTGTCCTGAACATGCTATGGACTTGGATTTATGGTAACAGATAGCTTTTTTTCTCAGGAATAATTGGTGTGAGTTTTGCCCCCCTATCAGCTTGTGCTGGAACTGCAGGGGAGCTTCTGGCGAAATATTTGAAAGCCAGTCCAGAGTCCAGATAGGAACAACGTATTTTCATCATTTTTGGTATGTAGGTGAATGAAAGAGAGATGCACATAATTATATGCAAATTATGCAAATGAGGACCAAATTTGCATAATTAAGGAGGAAATTCTATAATTACAGTGTCTTATATAATATTACTTCTATACATGTGATCTGTTTAATCTATGGCTGGCGGAACATTAACAGATACTAATTATGCAAATGACGACCTAATTTGCATAATTAATGAGAAACTTCTGTGATTCCTTATTGGTAAATGATGGGAATTCTATACCTTGTACCTTGGAGGTTAACATCACTATGTAATGTTAATGTCATTTGCATAATTAGTGAGGACATTTTTAACTGAAGTATGAGAAAGGAGAGGAACTTAAGACGCAAAATATTGTAATTTGAATTTAAAAAGCCATTAATGGAACTAGATTATGGTAACTACTTTCCATAGTCAATTAGACAAAATAAAATTTAAAAAAATTACAAAAACTCATATATTTTATGGAGGTATGAGATCTCCGAATTCTTGTTTAGAGAGCTCTTTACTCAGTGCCTTACAAACCTGAAGAAACTATGCACGGACCAGGAGATGGACCAGTAAAATGGATTTCGCATTGGAATTGAATGCTGAAACCACTAGAAACAAGCACTTTAAAACAAATTTACGTTTATTTCAAACCTCAAGTCTTTACCCTCACTGCAAAGCCGGATACCAAGATTTCACAACCTGTCAAAGTGGGCCATTCTATGGAGCGAAGAAGTATTTAGAGGCCAATAACTACTATAAGATAATATATCGGCTATATCATACAGAGTCATAACAAAACCAACGGCTAAACAGCATAATGGACCTATACCATTATTTGTTTGTTTACCACAATAAATGCCGGTCAATCGACGTTTATATTGTACAGGGGTGCGTAGCTCGCGCGGTGTGTGTTTGTGTAGCGTTAGCCTTAATATAAGGCTTTTAATGCAGTACTACTTTCGTCTAATGTCACAACTAAATCACCCATGCGGCATGTAATGCTGTGTCAACACAACTAGACGCAGCAAAAAATCAGACATGCCTTACTTTGAAAACTTTGAAATGATCTTTATTCTTTAACTGACCGTTCTAGAATGTTCTTTAGAACAGGTAAACAAACTGTGACGTAATAATAGTATAGGTCCATTGGACAACATAATTGAACGTCATTACAAGAGAACTGCGAAAACAGGGCCAGCTTCGTCTTTTATTGACTGATTATTAGCGTAATGACATAGGGTGTAGAGCTATTTGAGAAAACTTGTTGCGCAATGAAGTTTATGTAACTATCATTCTATGTACAGATTCGTGAGTTCACGTGCTACAATCTTCTCCCGGAGTGCTTGTCTGACGAGCTCACACGCCACCCCTGCCGGTCATGGTGTGCAGAGGTCCGTGCAGCCTGTACGGACGAACCACTGCTGGAGATCATTCCTCCCTGTAAACACTTTCCAGACGACAACTGCGAATATGGAGATGTGAACGACGGTAGGAGATTGTTATGTGTACCTTGGCAGGAGGAGAACACATTGCTTTTGCTCGTTTTCTTCTTCATCGTCAGCTCCAAACAAATAAGGCCAACGACCTGGACCTGGGGTCTGTCACCATGGTAACTGGTGCTGTAACAGGCACCCTGTGGTGTTGGGTTACAGTATGTACCAATTAGTCACAGTGAACACATAGTTGGAGGGGCTGGTCACCGTACATGTATAAAATGTAATATGTGTCAGAAAAAAACAGACATTGTAGTTTGTTAGGTTAGGCCATGTAAATATAAACGTATGCATTTACTTTGCAAGTGTTACCTTTCTAATCTTGTCTTACCCTTGTTGTGTTGTGTTTTGCATTCATCAGGACAATGATTTGTAACAAGTGAAAAAACAAATGAAAGAAATAGGGGTTTAAATAAATCGGAAGAGTTCACACTTAGAAAATGAGACTCTGTAACTTCCTCACAGAATGCTACCATGGGAATGGCCGAAACTATAGAGGAAAGAAGAACATAACAGTGTCAGATAAAGTGTGCGTGGCCTGGCACCTAAGCGCATATCAGGGGGAAAGGTACAAGTGGCTCAATCTGGAGGAAAACTACTGCCGTAACCCGGATGGTGCCCTGAGACCTTGGTGCTACACAGACAAAGCCAGGAACTGGGAGTATTGTGACCTAGTCCCATGCAGCAAAACAAAAGGTAATTCGTACTATTATGAAAGTCCATCTGTGTTGGTAGTTACATGTTCAGAGTTCAAAATTTTGATCCAACACAAAGAAGTTCTCTCACCTAGAGCTTTCGACATCGTCTACTAGATACCTTTGACCCAGTGTTGACGTTACACTTCAAAGAAGCCACGTGACAAGCTTCACTGGGTCAGTCTACTGAGGAAGACCAGAGTGACTGGTCGAAAGCTCAAGGTGCATAAGAGAACTTCTTTGTGTTGTATTAAACGTTTTAACTCCAAACAAAAGGTAATAGTTACAAAATCTCAATAATTTCATGAAACATTTCAGTTTTTTGCTTAGTTAGTGAATAAATGGTTAGTTTTGAAACGTTTTTTGAAAAGAGGAATATATTATTGAGATTCAAAATAAAAGGAATCGGAGATTTGAAACGTCCGAAAATTTATAGATATGTCTTGCGTTATTGCTTTTCTTCATATAATGTGCGATTGTATGACGTAATTATGATAACTTAATCCACTATTACACAATGGTTGGTATTTCATACCATTATTACATATATAGTACACATTCTCTAAAACTCGCCGCCAAATAAACAATATTTTCTTCCTCAGTATTTATTCGAACTGGTTTACTTTACCACAATCTACAGCAGTGCGCAGGCGTATCCCACAATATGTTGCTGTTTCTGGTCTTTCGAACATACGGTTGACCGTAAGTTCCACAATCAGTTGAACACTTGGTCGCACAAGAGCAAGATCGGAGCTGTGTCGCTCCCGTCTTCGAGTCATGCGATCCTGTTTGCATATTTTAAGTAATCACAAGACGTGGTGACGACATACTCAAATTATAAGGGCACAAGATCGTTGGCATGTCAGGACTCGAACCCGGGACCTCTTGGTTCCGAGTCGAGCACACATCCTGTTTGCGACCTAATTGTAACTTTAACTACGGTGGGGTCGTGTGGTGTAGCGGCAGAGTGCGCGACTCGGAACCAATAGTCCCGGGTTCGAGTCCTGACATGCCACCGATCTTGTGCCCCTGGGAAAGGCACTTTACACGACTTTCCTCGCTTAGCTCAGGTGTAAATGAGTATTGTCCTGTCATGTATTTGTCCCCTGTATTGGTGGCGGCATTAATATAAGTTGACAAAACTTGAGTGTGCCGTCACCACGCCTGGTGATTACATGTTGGAATAATAATAATAAAGAAAACTTTAACTACACTCTGTTTGTTCTAGTCGCTTTCTGTGATGACCGCGTACGCTCCAGAAGTATCCGTGTCAAGCCCATACGACCCAGGTACTGGCCAGGAGAGACGGTAACGTACATGTGTGAGACAGGCTACACACTGAGTGGAGCGTCCATGGCCGAGTGCAATCAAGACGGAGTTTGGGATGTTGATCCTCCAGAGTGTATAGGTACAAGTTTCAACAGTTCATTTTTGTTCCTTTGACACTGATACCTTAACTACATAATACTACATGTATGTAATGAGAAAAAGAGCTAAAAGTATTTGGTGCCTTCAATTTATCTTTGTGATAAAATTTCAACATTGTAATCATAATGCAATAATAGAGAACCTATGATTAATTAAAAGATGTAGTTTGGGATTGTTGAAAAATCATGTTTTTTTATTAGGTAAGATTGTAATTGTAAGATTCACTGCATACTATTTAAATTTTGTCTTCTCTGTCGTTGGGTTGACTTCGTTTTCTTCTTCTGCAATGTTCCAGAAAACAAACGTACTCAGCTGCTGATTGACAAGTTCAACCGGTCTGTCTACAGTGCAGACCTGCCGCCTACCGACACGGGAGTGCACATCACCTTAGCTGGAGCCATCAACGCCGTCATAAGCCTGGTCTGATTAATCATGTCTCATTTTGATTTTTATTTGATTTGATTTTTATTGTTTGCACATTAACAAAACAGACAATAATAATACGAAACCTATGGTGGCTCGACACTTTTTCTGAACATATTGCACTAACAAAAATTGTTAAATTGTATGGTATAATTGAAAAGATGGAAAAAATAGATACCTGAACCACTGTTTACTTTCTGCAAAATATGACATCTATAAGAGTACAGCTTTGAATAAGAAACCTTATTTCTGTAATGCATGATTTTCGAGACAAACATTCTTCGTAAAATGTCACATCACAAATACGTATTCTGTGTATTAGTATATTTGTATTAAGAGGGGCTTGCCACACTGTTTTCTTTTTGCTGTATGTACATCTCTTTGATAAACGAATAAAAAAATAATAATAATAATAATACGAAACAAGGATAAAACAGGTGCAGGAGGAGGGGAGAAGCATGGAATGCTTATACTAGGCCCTCCTCCTCTAAACTATACAAAATTAAATATAATCAATAAATGGAAATAATACAATAGAAAATGGAAATAATACAATGAGGATAATCAAATAATGTACGGTAAAATGTAAGGTATAAATACAGAGCAATAATGATAATGATAATAATTGGTATGAGTTACAATAAGAGAAAAACACGAAACTCCTACAGGGGGCTAGGTTCGTTTATCAGACGCATTTTCTGCATGCGATCTTGGATTTTGACCAATGACGTAATCAAATTTGCATAAATTATGAATATATAGTTATATAAATTACATATAATTATATATATATGATATGTTATTAATGTTAAAAGGACGTGTAATTAAACACAAAAAGCTGAGCATTTAATGTTTGTTATTAATGTTAAAAGGACGTGTAATTAAACACAAAAAGCTGAGCATTTAATGTTTAAAGCAAAATTACTGAATTTCCAAAAACTGACTTTTAGAAATCCGTTGACATGGCAACGAAATTTTTTTTTAAACCTATCCCGTTAATATGACATTGCTGCCAGATATATTTTAGGAAAAGTCGCCAAATTTGATGGTTCTAGCGCAAGCCGTTCAGGCACGGGCCTCATCAAAAGCACCCCCTCCCCGGTCTGAATAGGGTAAACATGAATGAAATAATTCAATCGATCTATTTCCCGGCCATCTCAGAATGTGATATTTTACGAATGTTAAAGTCACTCAATGAAAGTTCATATTTGTTTGTCCACGTTCCAGGATGAATCGGTTCCCTCCATTCTATCTGATGTTAGCATTGAATTGGTAAGTGGTTCACTGTCTATACCTACATACACGTACATTGCTAGTTTATCTATTTTGGGTAACGTTTTCTTCAGGCCCCCTTGGAAAGCAAATCACTATACGGTAATCGCTAATCGGCCCTTGATTTTATAATTATAATATGATGCAAGATGCAAATATTTCATATAAATAAAACACAAATTTTAACAAAATTACCAATACGAACGGACACGGCCCATGATAAACCAGCTCTCACACTTATTTGTGTGTTTTTTCTTTACCATTTACAGTATTGAGTTAATATATGTAATGTTTCAAACAAACAAAATTCGACTTTTTTTTCTATGAAATTCGTTCAAATTCATAGTGGTCCTCGCGTAGGTGCGAACTCACGCTCATTCACGCCATGGATGTGCTCTCGCGAGAATAGAATCAAAATGGCGAGTGTATCTGGAATGAGGTCTCTTGATGCCGATATTTTCATTGCAGCACTGGTATGACCCCAGACTATCCTGGACACCGTCTTCGTACGATGACCTGGAGAGTATGACTTTGCCCCACATCAAAGTGTGGACGCCACTAATGTCCCTGGCAGGAAGGTACATTGTACACATCTCAGCTGTATGTTTTTGAGTATGCTAGTAATATATGCTTTTTTTTACTTGCAATTCTCTGTCACCACTAATGCTTCTGAACTGCAAGTCAAGTTGTAATCTTCTAATCTATATTCGAATTATATTTTTGCTCTTTTGAGTATATGTACATGTATTTATATATATATATGATTCATTTTTTTGTATTATGATAAATATTTTGTCAATTTTAAGTCAATATTTTGATCATGATGCGATTGCAATGTCATGCTACAAACGGCTGTAAATTATGTAAATTGCAACACAATTCAGGCTTTTTCAACCTGCAATGATGTTTTCATGAATAAAGTGACTACAAATTTGTAAAAATCTGCCACACACAGCTGCGTTCTACATCATTAATTAATTGACTAATCAATCAATCAATCAATTCACTAACTGTATTTCTATTTCTATACAATACTAAGCAATACCCCTCGCGGGGTCTAATGCTTAGGGAAGTGGTCGTTCCCCAGCGTGACCGGTGGTGGTGGTGAGGAAAAAAGAATAACAACAAACAAGTAATACAAAAAAAAAACTATGTACAGAAGTCATGGCTGGGGATTGGCCACATTCCTACAGCTGGGTACAGCTAGGGAAGCCATAATGACTGGCTACCCCAGCTTTGAAATGTTCAATTGACTTAGCCATTACCAGATGGTCAGGTAAGGCGTTCCATTCGATCACTGTTCGTGGGAAAAAGCTACCTCTAAAAGTCTCTGTTCTACAGTGTAGTGTGTTGAAACGTAGCTGGTGCCCTCTGGTTGGGTTAGTGTTTCTTGTAAGAATGTGGTGTAGAGGAATGGATATAAGATTGTTGACTGCTTTGTAGAGGAGGCATAGACGCTGTTGTTGTCTCCGTTGCTGGAGCGTTGGCCAACCAAGTGAGTTTTGTATGGCAGTAATGCTGCTTGAGTGTTTGTAGTTACCTGACACGAACCTTGCGGCTCGTTTTTGCACTGACTCTAGCTTATCAATTAGACTGTTGGTTTGGGCGTGTATCTGTTTGTGTGGGTCCCATACTGAGGAAGCATATTCAAGTTTGGGTCGTATTAGTGATATGTAGGCTCTGGCCCTTACCTGCTTACTTGCCCCCCTTAGATTGCGTCTGACGAACCCCAAGGTGCTGCTAGCTTTCGCAGTAATGTCATTGATGTGTGCCTTCCACCTGAGGTTGTGGCTGAGTATGACACCTAGGTAGGGATGCTGATTGTTGTGGTTTAGCGGTTCATTGAACATAAAATAGAGATGAGCAGGTGATCTACTGGACTTGTGGATGTGGACAATAGAGCATTTATTTACATTAAACCGGAGCTGCCAATCTTGTGACCATTTACAGAGTTGGTCCAGATCTTTTTGGAGAATTTCCTGGTCTTGACTACAGTGTATCGGGCGGTAAACAAGACAATCATCAGCAAAAAGTCTCAACTGTGATGATATGTTGGCATTTATATCATTAATGTAAATGAGGAACAACAATGGCCCCAGAACTGTCCCCTGTGGAACCCCAGATTTAACCCTGACCAGACTTGACTTTTCCCCATCAACCACTACCTGTTGGTAGCGGTCAAGTAGCCAGTTTCTGATCCAGCCTAAGTTTTTACCTCTAATCCCATGGTGTTCTAGTTTGTTAAGTAGTCGGGTGTGCGGAACGCTATCAAAAACTGTAGTAAAATGTTGAACTTTATTACAACACAAAGATTACACAGAGATTAAATTTCATAATAAGTACTAGTAGCTAATGGACCTATACCATTATTACGTCACAGTTTGTTTACCTGTTCTAAAGAACGTTCTAGAACGGTCAGTTAAAGAATAAAGATCATTTCAAAGTTTTCAAAGTAAGGTATGTCTGATTTTTGCGAAAATGGTACTGTATTAAAAGCCTTATACTAGGCTAACGCTACACAAACACATACATGTACCGCGCTAAGCACCACTGTACAATATAAACGTCGATTGACCGGCATTCATTGCGGTAAACAAACTGTGACGTAATAATGGTATAGGTCCATTAAATAACTAACTATGGAAGTCTATTGTTTTGCATGTGTGGTTTCCATGATAACTAACTATGGAAGACTATTGTTTTGTGTGTGTGGTTTCCATGATAACTAACTATGGAAGACTATTGTTTTGTGTGTGTGGTTTCCATGATAACTAACTATATATGGAAGGCTATTGCTTTGCATGTGTGGTTTCCATGATAACTAACTATGGAAGGCTATTGTTTTGCATGTGTGGTTTCCATGATAACTAACTATGGAAGACTATTGTTTTGTGTGTGTGGTTTCCATGATAACTAACTATATATGGAAGGCTATTGTTTTGCATGTGTGGTTTCCATGATAACTAACTATGGAAGACTATTGTTTTGCATGTGTGGTTTCCATGATAACTATATATGGAAGACTATTGTTTTGCATGTGTGGTTTTGATGATGTTCTACAGCGCTGACAAAGACTTCGCAGGTCTTCCCGAGGTGGACGTGACAGTCAATCATGATGGAGAAGTCATCTGGGCATTTGGTAAGAGAAGGCCGCAGAACACAATATTTCATTATAATGACGTGAGTATAGAAAGTGGGGTCGTTTGGCATAACGGTAGAGTGCTCAAATCCAAGAGCTCCCGGGTTCGAATCCTGCCCGATGCCGCCGATCCTTTGGAAAGGCACTTTACACGACTTTCCTAACTTAACACGACTTTCCTAACTTAACACTTGCAATAATGGATACCTGACTTTGGTTGGGTAGGTAAAAGACGGTGGAAAGACGGGCTCCGCCTTTCAATACCGTGCCCTAGACATAGTGTATTTATAGTGTTTCCGCCAAACATAAAATCCGTATCCGCCTTCTACCTTGTGTTTTCCCTTGACTTACTTGACTGGGACTCGCTTAGCGTAAAACTAGCGTAACGCCAAAACAATACCTCAATTTTTCATGGAGGTAATAAAGTTTTTCTTCTGTGATGACAGAAACGCTGCTGGAGACACGGTGCGACTTGAACCACTTCCTCTTCCCGTTCGACAACATGACGTGCCCGGTGTGTCTGTACGTGAGAAGCACGTCTGGCGAGGAGCTGCGATGTCCAACCGGGAACAGCAGCAGACATCATCAACAACATCATCAGTTTGACGTTATGGACTGTGAGCAAGAGGTGACTTCCGTGTCAGGAGAGTGGTACACAACATACAGCATGGCCGTGGACAGCCAGAAGGTAGTACTTTCTTTATTCTTTATTTCAGGTAAAAAAGCACAGTACATCATTATCAATAATAATACAAAACTCTAGAGAGATATTCAAATAAAACAGAAAAAAACTAGATGCATAGCATTGTTTGTGTTTAGGAAGAAAGAGTTCCTGTAGCTGGCGTCAGCTCTTAGTGGGCGAATGATGATGTAGTTATGGGAGGGAAATAATCACTTTAAGAAATACGAACAAATCCTCCTCCGTCTAGTTTTAAATGTGTCAGTATAGGTAAACAAACATCTCGCTAGCACTACATAGCATGAAAGTCCATCTGTGTCGGTACAAGTCATTATGAAATAAAATGTTCTCAAAAACAGCGCCCTGCAGTTGAGAGGCACAGAGAAAAGTAAGAGGAAAAGAGAGAAAGACGAATAAAGTCGAAACCACAGAAAACACACTACGGATTTGGTGCCCCAATGTGCCAACATCTGCACATTTGCCACCAAGAGCCTTAATTTTTTCTCTCTTTAGGGATGCTTGGACATCTACCTTAAAAGGAGCCCCGTTCAGCACATGTGCACAACAGTAGCGCCAGGGGTCATCCTCTCTCTTCTCTTCTGTATCATCTTCTTCATCCCCATTGACAATGGCGACAGGCTGTCCTTCGGCATGGCCATCCTCTTGTCCATGTTCGTCACCTTACTCGTCATCTCTGAAGTCTTACCCAGGTCCAGCGAGATTCCATTCTTTGGTATGTGGACTTTTTTTGTTTTATCATGAAAGTTCACCTGTGTTGGTAGTTTTTTTAAAGCTAAAATTAATATATGATCCAACACACAGAATGGTCCTCACCTACATGTAGTGCTTTCGACCAGTCACTCTTCACATCAAGGCCATTCACCCTTCACTCAACCGTGACGGGGGCCGATATCGTTTACCAGATACTTTTGATTGACCAAAAATGGAATACTGTTGTCACATCTGGGCTGGAGCTGCACAGAGCTCGTTGAGCTGTTTAGATAGGGTCCAAAATCGTTTGCGAAATCTCGTTGGGAGATACCTGCACGCCACCTTACAACCGCTTTCACACCGGCGCGATGTTGCAAGCCTGGCGTTGCTATATCGATATTTCCACGGCAGATGCTCTGCTGAACTTCACTCCCTTGTACCCCCACTCAGAACATTCTCTGCAAGAACACGCTTAGCCACCTTAACAGCAGAAAATCACCCTTTCTTCCTCAATAGTCCATCAGTCAAGAGAAAAAATTCATGCTGACAGTTTCTTCCCCAGAACCAATTCACTGTGGAACAAGCTTCCCCGTGAATGTTTCACCGCTAATTATAACCTCCAACGGTTTAAATCAAGGGTGAACAAATATCTGATTACGCATCCATCACTGTAACCCAAAACATGTAAGTGGCTCTCACGAGCCTTGCTTTGAGGTGAATCTGAAGTAAATAAAAAAAAAGTGTTGACGTCACACTTCGGAGAAGCCACGTAGTAACCAGTCTCTTTGGTTTATTGAGGAAGACCAGAGTGACTGGTCGAAAGCTCTAGAAGAGAACCATTATTTTATGAAGATAATCAGCACCAAAATAAGGTCCCACAATGGTTTGATAAAAGCAACTTCTTGTTGTTGTTTTTTTTAAGTATAAAAATATCTTATAGATATTAAGATTAAAAAAAGAAAAAAATAGAAAAAAATTACGAAATTAATTAGATAGAAATGTTTAAAAAATATTTCAAAACGTTGTTGTTTGAATGATCAAACAGGTATTCTGAACATTGTGGCCATCGTGTTGATGGGTTTCTTCATGCTGGTCACAACTGTTCTCATCAATCTTCACGCGAGAGATGGCGAGATTCCCGCCTGGATGAGGAGCTTCTTCCTACGAGGCTGTTCACGAATTCTTCTGCTTGGAGATCTCACCAAGTATGGGCTTCAATTTTAATCAACAAAATCTAAAAAAAAAAAAAAACAGAATCAAATCTGCCCAAGGCGACCACCCAGGGGACCGAAGAAAAACGGTCATCTTGGACAGGTGGTCGCCCTGAAGAGGGTCGCCTCACAACATGACCGTGACTGAATGGTTTCCTAGTTGAGATGTTTTAATATCAAATGCTGTAATTATCTTCAGTTCTATGGTGAATGCATGTGCATGGGGAGTGTGGTACATGGACCAATTTACGTCGAACAAAAACATCGTTCAGCAGTGGAGGCAAACTGGCTGGTTTCTCCTTTATTTCTCATTGGTTATCATCAACAATTAACACGATTGAAACTGAGGTGGTCACCTTGGCAGGTTTGACTGTACTCTACAATCAGACGTTTAGGCTTTTTTACGTGTATTAGGCGTTTTTATCGGGTTTTCTTTTTTAACCCAGCCAATTTCGGATGGCAAATGATTCCTGCTTGGCCAATTACTGTCTGTCTTTGAAGCCACCAAAAGATCTGATTGGAGAACACCTAAAATGATAATGATCTGGTTGCCTTATGATACATATTAATTGTAATTGTTTTTTTTTTGCATGTGCTAACAGTACATGAACGTTCATCGGGATACTAGACGCTTAAGTTGGAAATTAGAATGAAATAACTGGTATACAATTTGCAAGGTCTTTTCTGCATACCTGTACACGTACAGCATTCTTAAATTCGTCTGACTTTAACTACCTAGGCAGTCTGAGACTGATGTTGACGAAGAGAAAGCAAACGTCCCGCATGACAGCCAAACCAACGAAAGCGACCTGGAGGCAGACGCCCTGAAGGACCAGGATACCGGTATGCCGTACAGGGAACCCTCCACCGCCCATGGTATTGCGCAGGAAATGTCGAAGACCGTCAATGCACTGAAGGAAAGCATCTTACTCCTGAAGGAAATGGCAGAAGACGAGCCAGGAAAACGGAATGAATGGATGATGCTCACTCGGGTACTTGATCGAATCTGTTTCGTGCTCTATGTTGGTGGAATAATTTTCTTACCCATGGCTTTCCTCATGTGAGGGAACGGTTAAGGGCCTAAGTGTAGTTAACGGCCGCAAACGTCGGTTTTCCATCCCGACAAAATTACTGTGCGTTGACGATATAATACAGCTCCCGATGTCGTCTGATTGCTCTAGGCTGTCTGATAATGGACCTATACCATTATTACGTCACAGTTTGTTTACCGCAATGAATGCCGGTCAATCGACGTTTATATTGTGCAGGGGTGCGTAGAGCGGTGTGTGTTTGTGTAGCGTTAGCCTAATATAAGGCTTTTAATGCAGTACTACTTTCGTCTAATGTCACAACTAAATCACCCATGCGGCATGTAATGCTGTGTCAACACAACTAGACGCAGCAAAAAATCAGAATACCTTACTTTGAAAACTTTGAAATGATCTTTATTCTTTAACTGACCGTTCCAGAATGTTCTTTAGAACAGGTAAACAAACTGTGACGTAATAATGGTATAGGTCCATTGCGTCGGGGCTTTAGACTGCGTCGGACTTTAAAATGCGTCGGGCCTTACAAATGCGTCTTACAAATGACAAGAATAGAAACAACAGATAAAACAATATGTTTCCTTCGATATACGAATGTAAGCATAATTACCTCGTACATTACGGCCATGATCAGTGTTATGAACATCAATAAGGCGGCCCCTACCTAAGGCATTCTTGTGTAGCATTATGATAGCCAGCAAGCGTAGGTTTAGTTGATATTTCATAGGAACAAAAGGTCGATGAATAGATAGGTAAGGCAAGTACAAAACTGGTGGTTACACCTAAAGGCGGTTTACCGATTATGCGAAACAAAGAAACTTAAACTGCAAACCGGTTGAACTTCGGAGAACAGATTGGCTGATTATATATAATCTGATCCAGAACCATGGAAGCAGAAAGTAGTAGTAGTAGTAGTAGTAGTAGTAATAGTAGTAGTAGTAGTAAGCCTTTATTTAAACTCGAAAGCTTGTTCGGTAGAATGCTTGAAACACGGTGGAATAAGAAAAAAAAGAACAATCATGTTTAAGGTAAGGGCGCTTTTAAAAATCCCTGAAACATGGATTGTATCGTTTCAATCAGGACCAAATCAGGCAGATTTAGTAGGACAGCTGATTGTTTCCGAATGACAGATCACGCATTACCGTGGGAAAGGTGAATATATGGTTTCCATGTCAATCTAAGACCTGTAAGTACCTGAACACGTTGTCATTGGGGAAAACAACCTGCAAATAAACGCAATAAAGCAATTCTATAAAACAGTCACTCTGAACAATGAGTCCTTCAGCTTACAGACCTTTCATTAAACAAACAAGCTTTTATTTTTAAACACACCTTGACACAACTGGTACATCAAAGCATGTCTACAGAAACGTACATTAATGGTTTGGGTTAGGGTTAGGACATGGAAGGACAGGCATGTTCACCTGTATGTGGATGGTGTTCAGCACCAAGGACAGGCATGTTCACCTGTATGTAGATAGTGTTCAACACCAAGGACAGGCATGTTCCCTGTATGTAGATGGTGCTCAGCACCAAGGACAGGCATGTTCCCTGTATGTAGATGGTGCTCAGCACCAAGGGCATGTGTGTTTACCTGTATGTTGATGATGTTCAGTGCCAAGGGCAGACATGTTCACCTGTATGTAGATGGTGTTTAGCACCAAAGACAGGCATGTTCACCTGTATGTAGATAGTGTTCAACACCAAGGACAGGCATGTTCCCTGTATGTAGATGGTGTTCAGCACCAAGGACAGGCATGTTCACCTATATGTGTATGGTGTTCAGCACCAAGGACAGGCATGTTCACCTGTATGTGGATGGTGTTCAGCACCAAGGACAGGCATGTTCACCTGTATGTTGATGGTGTTCAGTACCAAGGACATGTGTGTTTACCTGTATGTTGATGATGTT